TTCTGGCTCAAAATTCCCATTGGTCATCAGCCACCACATCACTTAGTGGGACCCACTTTTCTCCCCTTTCCATCCAAAAAACTTCTCCACTCCCCAAATGCAGGTTGCTAACTCGTGAAACATTCTCACTTCTATTATCTTTGTTTGATTGAGTAGAGATTACTGTGGAGAAATGATTTACCATGGTGTCTAAACTCGCATGGGCGTCACGTGTCGCATCCTTAGCTGGAATCATTCCTACTTGTGCCCTGAAGTCACCAGGCATCCCAGAAGGTCCCTCCCCGGGAGGTCAGATGCAGTGATGGTGAGTCTGGAAGTAGCTGGTTATGCACATGAGCGCACTGAGGCGGTGAGGCCCCCGAGCCTGGGAGCTGGGCTGGGAGTGGGCGGTGGGAGAGGGCAGCGCTGTGCAGGAGCATGAGGTCTGCTTGCTTTGTCAGGAAGTCAGAGTCTGCTGGCCCTTTTGTTGCAAAAATGCTTCTGAATTGGAGAGTCAGGAAATGAGTCTGAGTGGATGCACAGACAAAAGTCCTTTTTCTTTTTGTTCGATGCCGAATTCCTTCATGACCTACCTCAGCTGCATCCTGCTCTGGCTTGGTGGATTTTCACGGACATTCTAGCGGACTTCTGACTGGACGTGGCCGCTCTCTGTCGGTTTGACAATGGCAGTCTAAGCACTCAAGGTCTCTAGAATTCTTGCTTGTTTGGTCTTAATTTGGAAAAATGAATGAATGCATCTGCATAAGCCTTTCATGAATCTGCAGCACATTTCATTGTTTTTTTTATCAGCTTTTCAAAAATGGCAAAACTCATTTAAGAGCCAGTATGAAATCAGGTCCCCAGCCAGAATCTGTTGGCAGGTCCACTCCAGTTGCCTGTACATGTTTGTCCACAGACGAAAGTCTCAGCTACAGGACCAGTGCCCTGAATTCCCAAAGAAAGACAGATTTATTTCAGTCCACTTACTGAAGCATGAAAAGGGACTTTGGAAATAATGCTTACAATTGAAACAATAGGTACCTTGGTGCTAGGTGGCTTGCATTTGAGTCCTGACTCCGGTACCTGCTACCTGAGTGACCTTGGGCAAGTCACTTCTCTGTGCCTTACTTTCCTCATCTGTATATCACGATATAAATAAATCCTACTTTTAAGTAACTTAATCTTTTAAAATGCTTAACACAGTGTTTGACCCATAGTAGGCATGATATATGTGCTTTTTAAATAAGAACCAATAGCTCTGGCTGGTTTATCTCTGCAGTAGAGCATCGGCCTGTGGACCAATGAGTCCCTGGTTTGATTCCAGCCAAGGGCACGTACCTCGGTTGTGGTTTGTCCCTGGCCCTGGTCGGGGTTGGGTGGGAAGCAATCAGTTGATGTGTCCCTCTCACATTGATGTTTCTCTCTCGCTTCCTTTCTCTCTACCTGAAGATAAATAGAAAAATATCCTCAGATGAGGATTTAAATAATAATAAATAAGAACCAATAAACTGTTTCTGGGGGCTTCGGTGAATGTTCAGAGAGTCCAATTAATGAGAACATTCCAACGACCAACTCTCCTCATTATTTAGGATTGCAATTAATAATCATTCTAGAATATCTTATGAACTGAAGCCTTTTAAGTAAACATTTAATGTCTTATTGTGATGATTTCTGACTTAATGAAAAGTTGAAAGAATAGAAAAATATGTCTCTTAACCCAGATTCACCAATTACTTACATTTTGCTAATTTGTTTTCTCATTCATTCATTTTTCTCATCTACCTTCCTTTCTCCTTTCTCTCCTCTCTCTTTTCTCTCAGAATCACTTGAAAGTAAGTTGAACATATTTGACCCTTTATTCTTTTTTATAACCTTTATTGTTGAAAGTATTACAGATATCCCTCTTTTTTTTCCCAATAACACCCTCACCCCCAACACCTCCCCTTCACTGCACTGTTGACCCTTTATTCTTAAATATTTCTGGTGGTACTTTTTAAAAATAACAAAGACATTTCCTTTCTTAACTACAGAATAATGATCAAAATCAGAAAATTTAATGTTGACACAAAACTAATTTAATCTACTGTGTATATTTAGAAATTGTTAATTGTCCCAATATTGTCCTTTAAAGCTATATCTGTGTGTTTATGTATATATGTTTATGTTTGTGTGTATGATTGTAGATTTGTATTGTGTGTGTTTGTGTGTGTGTGGTGTGTGCAGTTCTTTCTGAGAATAATTCTGTATGTGTGTATTTTTTTTTTGGTCTACGATCCAATGTAGGATCACAATTGCATTTAGTTGTTATGTGTCTATTCTTCATTTGGGACCATTCCTCACATATATGTGTATGTGTATACATATACACAGGTATATATATATTTCGTGTACAAACACCTTTCGTGACATTGACACATTTTAAGAATACAGACCAGTTAGTTCCATTGCAGAATGCCCTCAAATTTGAATTAGTCTGATTTTAACTTGTGAATAGATTCAGGTTTAAGGTCATTGTGTCTTACAGCTTTAAAAGGAACTGAGCTATTTCATCATTGTAGGATTTTAGAATGAAAACATGCGGAGAACTCGATGCTGTACGGGTTGACGTGTGGAGTGAGGGGGGCAACACAGTGGACATGGGAGGTTCTGAGGGTGCTTTTCTACAATGGGTAAGCAGCTATGCTCCTGAAGAGTGACCCTCTTAGGGAATTCATCCCGCCACTAGTGAGGGCAAGTGGATCAAGACAAAAGAAAGGTAAAGCCTCCATATTTTCTTGATAAGGAATCAAGTGTGGGCAGAATTTTTCTTGTGTACAGTGAAATGAATTACACACCAGGGGAATGGCCCTGGTGCCAGGACATGAACAGGCTTCCTGCTTCCCTGTGGTGGAAGAGTGACTGTCTCCACACAGCACCAACACACAAGGTGGAAGATGAAAAGTGTAGCCCCGCCTCCAAATGCTGAGTCTTTTTAGTTCATTCTGAGACTTAGTGGGCACATTAACGCATTGTTTTTTTTTCAGTCTAGATATGATTAGTGTCTCCCATCATTGAAAATATTAGATGCTTTATTTTTTATTATTTTAATATGTTTTTATTGATATTTTAGAGGGGGAAGAGGAGAGAAAGAGAAACATCAATGCGAGAGAGATACATTGATCACTGCCTCCTGCACGCCCCCCACTGGGGATCAAACCCTCAGCTCGGGCTTGTGCCCTGACCGGAATGGAACTGGACCTCTCAGTCCACAAGACGACGCTCAATCCACTGAGCCACACAGACCAGGTGAAATGATCAGACACTTTAGAACAGATAGCTTTGGAAGCAGGCTGAGGGGAGGACAGGCTGTTGTTGGGAAACAACAGAGAGAAGTGGAACGGCTGGAAGGAAGTGCTTTTGGTTTCATGCACAAAATTATTGGTGGTATTGAACATACTAACATTTGGAAGTGACAAGAAAGAGTTAATCCTTTTCTGTAAGTGTCTAGGGTCCACTCTGGGAAAATCCGACTGAATGAGTTACTGCCCAGCATAAAATTAAACTCCCAGTTTCTTGTCTGGCACACGGACTATTAGATCACATTTCTTTTCACTGATGGATCCATTTTTTAATGAATTGAAAAAAGAATCCCCAGTGGCTCCTTTTGTGTGAAGAAAACAAGACAAATATTAGCTAGGAAAGGTCAATTTGGTTTCCAGTATGTGGGGAGTTCATTATGATGGGTTCTGATAAATTATACTGTGTATTTCTTTCCGATAACAGAAGGTCACATTGTCCCTTGGGTGGACATCAGGACAAAAATACTTAATAAAGTTGTAGGATGTAGGAGATGAATATTTTCTAGTTGTTTTGAATACCTTATAAAGTTATTCAAGACAGTTTCCTCCAGCTGAGCTCATCGCTCAAGCCAGGTTCTCTTGCAGTCCCAAAGGCTGCAAGTCTGGTACTGAAAATGTTCTCTAGGCAAATGTATAATTATCTTCAGGGACATCTGAAGAAGAGAAGAATCTCAGTTGTGCTTTGGGGCAGATTTGTAATGAGTTCAGCAGGATTCTAAAGTAGGTAGACTTTGTTGCAAGAATCATTTTTATATTGTATTTGCAACTTTAGTATCTAGTGATACACATCATTATTTCTCTTTGATCTCCACCATGGGAGGAATATATTTAACTTAGCAACATTAAAAATGGTGTGGTTTCATATTCCATGTATTGTTGTTGTTGAGATAGCTTTGGTTCAGAATCATCTACATTCTTTTTGTAAGATGTTTGCTGTGAAAAAGTCCTTTTAGGTCTGTGCACTAAAGGGGTGGGTTGAGGGTCAGTTATGGTATTAACAGTGTTCTTTGTATTTTGATATGGTGCTTTCTATTGGAACAACTTTTGCCCTATGCCTTTCATCAACATTTTTCGAAAAGCATCCTTGCTGATTGTTTAGCATCATCTTCGGGTTTATGTCACAACAAGCCAGGAGTTCAGATCTTCGTGCTGGCTTTTCCACTGCTCTGTGAGCCTGGGCAAGTTGCAGAGCTCTTGGGAATGAACCACCCCCAATTCCATTTCCATCCCTTAACTAAGGAAATGAGAGAGTGGAAGTTTGAACGATGAATGGTTTGGGAGACTGTCAAATTTTGAATGTCTTTGCTGTTGAGGGAACTTCTACTTGAAAATTATATTCTGTTAGCTAATATGTGGCTCATTAGTGAGTGCAGAATTCTGTATTCCTCCTCCCCATGTATTAGGACACTTCACAAGCATATATGTGTTTGGCTGCCTACCACTTGCCTGAAATGGCAGGTGTCATTGTAAAATCATTATTTTGCTACTGGAAATTTGTATCATTTCAACATTAAAATGCTAATGGATTCCTGCCTTTTTTTTTTTTTTTTTTTTAAATAGGTCTTCCAAGCTAAGATAATTTTTTTGGAACTGCAGAAATGCTTGGTTCTAGCTCCAAATGGGAATTGGTAGTCACTCTGAAGTACATCCCGGAATAACTGTGTTTCACTGGCACTAAATCTTATGAAGTCTCCAAGGTAAAATGATTTTACCACATATCTAGAGATGATGTCTTTACGAGCACTAAGAATGTAGCAAAATGTAGTATCTTGCAGTTGATGATTCTTTATAAAAGCCTTCATTTACATTTAATTTTTGGGAATTTGGGGAGTTATAGTTTTTAAAATTTTAGTTCTCATCTTTGAAATTATTTCAGTTTGTAAAGCAGTGTTTGGGGTATTCAGTCGGGTAAAGCTGAGATTTGTAAGATAAACCATTTTGTTTCACGTTCGACAGACAGCATGTTCAGCGCGGAGGAGACCGAAGCTGAGGTGTCAGAGTCCTTTCCTTAGGAGTCTGGATTATTGACTGAAACAAGGGATTGCTGCTGAATAGTGGCCCCTCATTCCCAAGCATTGCTCCAGGGAATCATAGCTTTTATTAAGTAAATACTCGTCTGGGCTCTGCGACCTTGTCACCATTCACCAGGAAGAATCGTCCACATAACCAAAGAATTATACGCATGTATGTAACCAATGGACACAGACAGCAATGCTTGGAGGGGTGAGGGAGTGGGATAGGGAGGAGGGTGTCTGGGAGAAGAAGGAGAAACATCTGTAACAAAAATAAATTAATTGAAAAACAAAAACAAAAACAAAAAACTTTGGCCAGGCTGGTGTGGGTCACTGGTTGAGTGTTGACCCATGCATCAAGAGGTTGCCAATTTGATTCTGGGTCAGGGCACATGCCCAGGTTGTGGGCCTGATCTCTTGGGGGGGGGCGCATGCCAGTCGATGTTCTCTCTCATCGATGTTTCTTTCTCTCCCTCCCTTTCTCTCTAAAATCGATAAAGAAAAAAAAATATTTGAAAAAAAAGGTGGACCGGGATCATTTTCTGAGATTGCAGTGGCTGCCCCTGAGACTTTTGATTTGGAGTTTGTTGTTAGGATCTAATGGAGAAGACAGAACCATTCTGCTGATGTGGGACAGAGGGAGCTGAACTCAGGGAACTGGGTACACACATGACCGGAGAGTCAGAGAGGTCAGTCTGCAGATACGGGGTAGCCCAGACCTCAGCAACATAGGAAGCTGCTCCCATCCTGGGCGGAGGAACAAGGGAGTAGTGTCTGCCAACACCCAGGGAGGGGACTTCAGGGGGAGCTGACACCATGGGGAAGAAATGGCCGATTCCACAGGTCCTGTCCAAGTCAGAGAAGGTGGGAGGGACACCGGCCTCTCCCTCCCACCCTCCAGGGTCCAGCCAGCATCTCCTGTTGGTTAACTGAGATGGGACCCAGTTGAGGGGAAAGAATGGGTCTGAGGGCAAAAGAGGCGCAGGCTGGGATCGGGTTCGTCCTTGAGACCTCTTCCCATGACATTTTATCGAGCCTGACATGGGCTTTGATGCCCCAGAGGATGAGTCATCCGTCTCTTTCTCTGTTTTAAAATTTATTTTTCAAATACAGTTGACATACAACATAAGTTTCAGGGATACGAGAGTGATTAGAAATTGATATACTGGACAAAGTAGTCACCCGCATGTGGTCTTCCCTTGAGGATGACCCCTTCGCCCCGCCGAGTGAGGTTCTGCACAAGCCCCAGAGCCTCCTGTTTGAAGATGGGCAGCCGCGGGCAGTGATGCGCGGTGGGTTCCTCTTCAGGAACGAGAATCCTGCAGAAGACAGAAGACGGCCACCTGCCTCAGGCGACACCCCCTTTAGAGCAGCGCATGCCCAGTGGCCCATCTGCACGGGATCCTGAAGGCCCAGCCTCTCTACCCCACGTGGACCACCGAGACGAGGCCGGTCAGCTTTGGAGCTCTCCACAGGGTTGTCTGCGGCCGTTCCTCCTCCTGCCCTGCCTTCTTCCCGCCCCTGCTTGGGTGATGATCCCAAGAACACCCCCTTAATTAACCTCCTGCTCACCAGTTTCCATCTCTGAGTAGGCTCCCAGAGAACCCAACCTTTGGGACTCAGCGCATCTCAAATGTACTCTCCCAAGTGTGGTAACAGGCGTCCAGACAAGGTTAGGTTCTGCAGGGTTAGTAACCAGAAACTGACCTCACCTGTCGGTTAGATGGGCGCATTGGAGCTCACCCGCAAGCCCTAATCTGAATTTGGAAATTCTAAGTTGAGTGGGGGCATTGTGGTTATAGGCAGGGGAGCCAGCCCACTAGCAGGAGAAAGTATTAATGATACTCATGGAGGGTGAAAGGGTTAAGCGCCGAGGACACGGAGACCCGTCACAAAGGCCCTGGGAAATGGAGTGTGCCAGAGCAGCTGGGCCCAGAAGCAGCCTTTCTGTTTGGGCATCGGGATGAGGGCCCGGCCAGGTGACCTGGAGTTCAGCCCGGTGATTCCCTCCGCAGGGGGCCCCGCTGGAAGGTGCCAGGCTTCTGGCTCATGGAAATCACAAGATAATATATTCATGCTAAATTTGGCAGTTGAGTTATTACACAGCAATAAAAAAACTATTCCATTGATCTGATTTCTTGAAATTTTCCTGGTTTGGGCCACGAATTGCTACTGGAAGTCAGGATGCCTGGTCCAGCCTGCAGATGTGATTTGTTTGGTTTGCACTGTTTTAAAAACAAAACAAATGGAATTCGTTGCCAACATGTAAGAGGCCCAGCCTGTCTGTGAGGACCCCGCTTCTCTGGCAGACTGACGGCTGCGGCAGCGCTGGTGCGCGGGGTGCGCCCTGGTCTCCGCGCCCAGCCTGGTGCGCGGGGCGCCCTGGTCTCCGCGCTGGGCCGCAGGGCCGCAGGGCCGCAGGGCCGCAGGGCCTCCGCCCAGCTAGCCTACTCCTGCACTCTGCACTCGCAGGTACTCGAACCTTTCATCTTTGGGGAAGGGACATACGCCTCTGTAACAATCAGATCAAATACTGATATTGGGGTTAACAACTGGAATTTTAAAACACTGCAGCTGGGCCCGAGCACCCTCTACAGAAATTCAGCAAATAGGGAATTTTGAATCTCACGTGTTTCCTACTTAGTAATAAATTAAAATCCAAGCCCTAAATTGACAATGTAGTTAAGTGACAGCACCCCGAGCTCACGTGGGCCTACGCTCTCTTTGCTGCCCTCGGAGCGGAACGGCTCCAGGTCGGTGCCGCAGAGGCTGACGCCCTGCAGGCCTCCAGGCAGAGAGCGCTTCCCGTGGGTTCGCACGGCGCCAGCCTCCCCGCAAGGCCCTTGCAAGCCCGTCTTCAAAGATGATCTAGAATCGCGTCCCGTCGGGCTGCCTCAGAGGTAGACTGTCTCAAGTCAGTGAGCAATACGACACCGACACCGTTCCAGTGAGAACTATCTGACTAAACTGTGAGAGGCCTGTGGAGGGAGGGAGAGCTGGCGCGGAGTGGGCCCCTGGGGAGTGTGAGTGGAGCCCAGGTCTCCAGGCTGAGCCTCCTCTAGCGCAGAATCGGGGTCTGGCTGAGGCTCTGGCTGGTAGTGCGGCTCCGAGACCCCTGCCTCCTTCCAGGGCTCCCGCAGGAACTTGGCCCCCAGTGTTGCCTGAACACAGATTCAGCCCCGTGAGCCACGTCTTGGTTGGATTTATACATCTTGTATACAAAAAGTGGGTTCCTTGGCTCCACTGTGCTGGATCGTATCATCACAGACACCATGAGCCATGTGCCAGGCAGACCCCACTATCACTCGAGTTTCAAATGCCACGCACCCTGCCTTCCGCTTGAAAAATTTAATTAAAAAAAAAAAAACCAAGCAAACAAAAAAGTTAATCAAGTTCTAATTTCTCTATAATATAAAAAAGGAAAAAAATTAGGGGGGATGCATTTTTTGACATTTTCTTTTTATTTATGTTTTTGGGTTTGTTTTAGAATAGACCACACAACCACATTTGTGAAGTGAATTCTCTTTAAACAACTGTTTTGATGAAGTTAATTAAGGATATTTGTTTATTTTGCCAGGTTTATTGGGATAAAATGGTCACATAACATTGTGCATGTTTAAAGCGTACACCGTGTTGATTTGATATCTGTAAGTTGCAAAATGTTAACCAGAGTGGCATTAGTCATCTCCTCCCTCCCATCCCGTAGACCATTTTATTTAGTTTGTGGCGAGAATACTGAAGCTCTACTGTTGTAGCAACATTCAAGTATATGATACAGTATCATCAGCTGTAAGCAACCACTGTATATTAGATCTCTAGACTTGTTCATTTCATAACTGGAACTTTAATGCCCACATCTCCCCATCCCTCCGCCCCCTTGGTAACTACCCTTATACCCTCTATCTCTGTGGGTTTGTCTTTTTTAGATTCCACATATACGTGCTATCAGAGTATTTCTCTTTCTCAGTCTGACTTATTCACTTAACATAATGCCATCAAGCTCCATCCAAATTATTGCAAACGGCAGCCCTTCTTTCTCATGGCTGAATAATATTCATGCACGTGCATATGCTCCGTCTTCTTTTATCCACTCACCCAAGATGTGCATGTGAAGTTTATTTATATTCACCTGTACTTGTCCACATTTCCACCAAACTTGGAGATTTGTTTAATAAGCTACGAGGCCAGTCTTTTAGGATTCATACATAGTCAATGAAACCAGGAAAAATCTCTTGGGCTGGGTGTGAAAATTTCTGTGGTTTCTTTCAGATATAGGAACCTGGATATTTATTTGAATTAGTCTCTCAGTGTGTAGCTTTTAAATTCCATGATATAAAATAGTATAGAAGCGCCTTGTTCTGTGAGGACAACTCAAGCCACACCATGGGGATTCACAAAGAGAGTTCTCACCGAGGCATGTTGCTAACTTGGAAAACTCTTAATTATAGCCCTGGCTGGTTTGGCTCAGCAGTTAGAGCGCTGGCCTGGGAACCAAAGAGTCTTGGGTTCAATTCCTGTCAGGGGCATGTATCTCGGTTGCTATTTGGAACCAGCCCTGGTCGGGGTCATGTGGGAGGCAACCAGTCGATGTGTCTCTCTCACATCGATGTTTCTCTCTCTCTCCCTACCTCACTCACACTCTATCTGAAGATAAATGGAAAGATATCCTCAGGTGAGGATTTAAAAAACAAACTCTTAATCATAAAAGGTGTTTTTTGAAAACTGAGTTACTGCACGGCGCAGATGAGGTTTAATTAGCCCCCAGCCTACCTTCCCTGGACAGTTTGCCCAAGCGCCTGCCTCACTGGCTTGTCCTGCTCTCTGTCCTTTCTCCCCAGGATGAGAGTCTCTGCGAAGCTGCTGCACTGGCTCCTTCTGGCCGGCGTGTTGAAGGTCTGCTGGGAGCTGGTGGCCGCCTCGAGCCCGCAGCCCTGGGGACGCGCAGGTAGGCCCTTCGAAGCTCACCATGTGCCGAGGAGCGCATTTCCTAAAGCCTTTCAAAGCCAGAGCCCACATTTCAGACGGAGGTAACGGACAAGGGTTTTTGATGGCGTGTAAGTAACCAGAGGAAGCACGAAGCACAGCCGAGTGAAGCCCTTGAACAGGCTGGTGCTTGAAGAGCATGGTCCAGGCATCTTTTCAAGGTGTTCTCCTGGTTTCTCCTTCTTTTCCTTCCCTGAGTAAACTGCCATTCCTGTAGAGATTTTCAAAAGGAATCTGGAAAACCAGCAGCACTTTATTTTATTATTTTTTTTAGTACGAATGTGAGATTCATCTTTATTTTTCTTTTTAAAACAATTCATACGTTTTATTTATTTTAAATGAAAAAAAATTTTACTCTTTCAATTACAGTTGACATCAAGATGATATTAGTTTCAGGTGTACAGCATAGTTAGACATTTATATAATTTACAAAGTGAACCCCTGATAAGTCTAGTACCCACCTGGAATCATATAGAGTTATTACAATGTTATTGACTATACTTTTTATGATGTACTTTACATTTCTGTAACTACTTTGTAATTACCAATTTGTTATTCTTAATTCTTTCAGCTTTTTCAACCCCAACCCCCTTCCCCTCTGGCAACCATCAGATAGACAGTTTGTTCTCTGTATCCCATTTGGTTTTGTTTGTTCATTTATTTTGTTCTTTAGTTTCCAATGTAAGTGAAATCATATGACATTTGTCTTTCTCTGTCTAACTTATTTCACTTAGCTTAATACCTCTAGGTTCAGTGCAGCTTCCTTTGAAGGCAGACCATTCTCATTGATAAACTTAAAGGAACATTGACAGGGTGGTAATAAAGGGTGTGGTCAGATCATTTGAGATTCTTTTGAGATTCTTTTGAGATATGGAGGAAACATGATGAGTGAATTTTTTTTTTTTTTTTGTAATAAGAAGGAAAGAAAATAAATAGAAGAGGCAGTAACTTTTGCATGGGACCGAAAATGGAATGTATCTAAACTTTTAGAGACTTATTCTGATCATTTCTAGTGAGACCCATGTCTATACTTTGCATATTTCTAAAGGAAGTTTAAACTAATCAGTTAAGCATCTGGGCGTGTGTGTGTGTGTGTGTGTGTGTGTGTGTGTGTTTGTCTCCCTTTTCTTGTTACATATGCAGGGTGTCCCAAAAAAATGTATGCACAGTTAACAGCTGATAGCTCAGTTGATGTTTCTTTCTTTTCAGATAACCCATCGGAATTTATAATTATTCAAAGTGTGTATGCATTTTGCGGGGACACCGTGTATGTTTAAAGTTACATAGATTTGGAAACACTCTAATGAATTGTATTTTCCTGAATAATTTGTATTTATCAGTAGACTCATTGCCAAACAATTAGTTCACTGTCTCTGCTTTGGTGATTTGGGGCGTGGCAGTCGCAGGCATGTTCTGACTCCTTAGTGAAGGAGTGACGCTTGAACCACAGACTGTGTATGCATCAAAACTGTAAAGTCTTCTCTGAAAGGTCTTATATTTGTTAGATGTTCTTACCCTCAAACATGTAGCTTTCTACTCAGTTATTCTTATATTTTAAGTTCAGACATATTTTTTTTTTCTTTATTGATTTTAGAGCGAGAGGAACGGAGAGGGAGAGAGAAATAGAAATGTCAATGAGAGAGAACATCGATTGGATGCCTCCTTCTTGCCCCCGACTGGGGATCGTGCCCTGACCGGGAATTGAACCGGCGACCTCTTGGTGCCTGGGTCGACATTTAACCACTGAGCCACACTGGCTAGGCAAGTTCATACATAATTTTAGGCTCAAGATGATTTTTAAAACCTGTAACTCAATTTTCACTCCTCAAGCTACAGTTTCAAGAAGACAAGAAAAATAATGATTGGAATTGTAATGAGTCAGCATGAAATCCATACCCCTTGGCTGCTGTGACGAGCCTGCAGCTAGCTGATTGCTGCTCTGTGTGCTTTTGATGGGCTTCTCCTGGGCAGAGCAGGATGTCATCCGTCTCTGTTGAACACACCTCTCTTTTCTTGGGTGCTGCTGGCGAGTGGGGCTGGGGGCAGGCCCATGTTTGGGGCGGGCAGCACAACTCCACATCTCCAGGAGCTCAGCCAGGGAGGTTGTGTTGAGAGTGATTGAAACTTAAAGGAGGCAGAGGTCACGCTTTCAATTTGTATCTGAGTGGAATCTTTGTTTCATACCATGACCCTTTGAATTTGGAAAAGGCAGAACTATAGGGATAAATATAAATTAAGATTAGAATTATATACACAAGACATGTGGACAGTGTCCTTCATATAAGCAAATACTTAGCAGCAGTGGGGATGTGAGAAGTCTGAGGAAAACCTGGCTAAATCCTGCTGAAGAAATAAAATGTTCTCAATAGAATTTCTAGATGATTTGATTTGGATGATCATCACGTGTCCTCTGGTTTTTTATTTTTCTTTGGCTTTGGGGGGATTCTTCTTGCTTATGTCTTTGGAACTTAAGTCCCTCTCATTTCTTCACCTAACAACCATCAAAGCAACCAGGACAGCGCCTGCCTGCTGGGGGCCCTGCCCTCTTACGAGGGCCGCGTGCTGCCTGGACAGCCAGCCGTCTTGCAACAGCCAGGACCTCCGTCACCGAGCGGGGCCAGGTGCTGACATCACCTGCTGACAGCAAATGCTCCTGACCCCACTGTGACGTCCTCATCCCTTGTAGGTTTCTTAAGCTGTGCTCCTGATGCCTGGAACACAGTGTGTACTAAATGAATATTATATTAGGCTGATTAATGTTGTCCACTTGTCACTGTGTAATCAATTATGTAGTTTTCTGCTGGTGGTATAAATGCCAAACAATATAGGCAGGTGTGCAAATTATCTTCTTAACTCCCTTGTTGATAATGTATTAGTCAGAGTTCTCCAGAGAAAAGACAAAACAAGTAAATAGAAGCATATCTCGGAGGTGCTGTGGACTCAGCCCCCACCGCACAGTGAGACCGCAGCGAAGCAAGTCACATGACCTTTTAGTCTCCCGTGCATGTGAAAGTACACTCCTGCTCTAGTGTAGTCTGCTAGGTGTGCAGAAGCACTCTAAGACAGCAGTGTGCATGCCTGGATCAAAATGCTAGGCACCGTCTGAGCCTTCAGGAGGTCTGAACCTTAGCTATCGGAGGGTCTTGCCTGGGTCTGTGTGAAAAAACACAGTGTCTGCAAAGCACAGTAGAGGGAAACTCAACAAAATGAGATGCATGTGTGTGTGTGTGCATGTGTGAGGGTATAGGTGTATGTGTATGTGTGAGGGGTATGGGTATGTGTGTGAGTGTGTATGTGTGAGAAATATAGGTGTGTTTGTGAGTGTATGTGTGAGGGTATAGGTGTGTATGTGAGTGTATGTGTGAGGGGTATAGGTATGTGTGTGAGTGTACATGTGTGAGGGTATAGATGTGTGTATGTGTGAGAAATATAGGTGTGTTTGTGAGTATGTATGTGTGAGGGTATAGGTGTGTGTGTGTGAATGTATGAGTGAGGGGTATAAGTGTGTGTGTGAGTGTATGTGTGAGGGGTATAGGTGTGTGTATGTGTGAGAAATATAGGTGTGTGTATGTGTGAGAAATATAGGTGTGTTTGTGAGTATGTATGTGTGAGGGTATAGGTGTGTGTGTGAATGTATGAGTGAGGGGTATAAGTGTGTGTGTGAGTGTACATGTGTGAGGGGTATAGGTATGTGTGTGAGTGTACATGTGTGAGGGGTATAGGTGTGTGTATGTGTGAGAAATATAGGTGTGTGTATGTGTGAGAAATATAGGTGTGTTTGTGAGTATGTATGTGTGAGGGTATAGGTGTGTGTGTGTGAATGTATGAGTGAGGGGTATAGGTGTGTGTGAGTGTATGTGTGAGGGGTATAGGTGTGTGTGTGTATGTGTGAGAAATATAGGTGTGTTTGTGAGTATGTATGTGTGAGGGTATAGGTGTGTGTGTGTGAATGTATGAGTGAGGGGTATAAGTGTGTGTGTGAGTGTACATGTGTGAGGGGTATAGGTATGTGTGTGAGAGTATGTGTGAGGGGTATAGGTATGTGTGTGAGTGTACATGTGTGAGGGGTATAGGTATGTGTGTGAGTGTGTATGTGTGAGAAATATAGGTGTATGTGTGGGAAATATAGGTGTGTTTGTGAGTATGTATGTGTGAGGGTATAGGTGTGTGTGTGAGTGTATGTGTGAGGGTGTATGTGTGGGGTATGAGTGTATGTGTGAGTGGGTATAGGTGTATGTGTGAGGGTATAGGTGTGTGTGACTGTGTATGAATTTGCACGTGTGTATGTGTATTTGTGGGTATGCATGTATGTCTCTCTGTGTGTGTATGCGTATGCATATGTTTATGTGTGTATGTGTGTTTGTATGTATGTGCATGTGTGTGTATGTGTAAAGAGATTTATTTATTTTTGTCAATCTTCACCCAAGGTACTTTCCCATTGTTCTAGACAGAGTGGAAGGAGGGGGAGAAATACTGCTGTGAGAGGGACACCTCAGTTGGTCACCTCCCCCAGAGAGTGAATCTGCCACCCAGGTATGTGCCTTGACTGGATATTGAACTCACGACCCTTGGGTACGTGGGGCAATGCTCTAACCACTGAGCCAAACTGGCCAGGGCTAAAGAAATTTATTATAAAGTACTGGCTCACACAACTATGGAGGCTGGGAAGTCCAGTGATCTGCAGTCTATGAACTGGGGACCCAGGAGAGCCAGAGGTGTGGCCCCAAGACCCGAGAGATGGGGACTTGATGGTGCAGATTCCAGCTGGAATCGGAAGGCCTGAGAGTCGGTACCAAGCTCAGTGTCAGGGAGCAAAAGTCAGCCTCCTCCAGCCTCCTACCAGCCTCCTCCAGCCTCCTTCCAGCCTCCTCCAGCCTCCTTCCAGCCTCCTTCCAGCCTCCTCCAGCCTCCTTCCAGCCTCCTCCAGCCTCCTTCCAGCCTCCTTCCAGCCTCCTCCAGCCT